CAGTGCGCCCGTGCGCAGGTCGGCGTTCCGGAGAATGGTTGCTGGCAGACAGTGTGTTCCAAGAGGAATCACATGCTTGACTCGATGCCCACCAATCGTTCTTACACCGTAATTAGGCATCTTGGAGGAACGTCGATGCTTGTATCGACGCAGGGTTGTGCGCAAGGACATGAAGAGTTCCGGCGTAAAGTCATACGTTCCGCTCTTCACGCCCGAAACGTCGGGCGTGATCACGGTCTTGGGCAGCGTGAGGGCGTCGCTCATTGGGCGCTGCACAGATGAAGGGTTGAGTATCCATAATTGCCGTACCAGATGGTCTCGATCCCGAGGTCTTCTGTGCCGGCAGGGCAGCTGTAACCGCCCGTGATGCTGTTCGTCCGGTTGTAGCCGGCAAAACCATTTGTTGTGGTCGGCACATAACCTGAGATCTGGGCCTGTGGTGCACGCCAGACACCGCTTTGACACACCAGAAGCAGTCCAGAGTTATCATTTTTGGTCGCTAACGCGCCGTTCGGACTGCACCCGTTTCCTGGCCACGCATTGCCATTATCGGTTCCCAGCCGAACAGTGGTGGCTGAAACATTCCCCGCTCCAAGATCGGCCGCGCTGCCGTCGGCATGCTGCACATAGGCTGCTCCAGGTGCCCGGATGGCCAGATTGTCATTGTCGCCATAGAAACACGCATTGCCGACGTTGAAGGCACAGCCGTTCTGCATCACACGCACCGAGTTCTGAACTTCGAGGCGGTCGCCGATGCTGACATATCCCTGATTGTTCACATAGGTGCTGACATTTCCGCCTGTCCCAACGCCGAGGCCGCCTTCGAAATAGCCATCCCAGCTATGGACGCCCCCACCCCAGCCGGTTGGCAGACCCACATAAGGGTCATATCCGCGCGTCCCGATGTTAGAACCAAAATGCCCTTGGCCGGCCCATAGATCAGCCGATGACCCATCATAATGCTGCAGAAAGACAGCGCCTGGTGTTCTGACGGCAGCATTATTGTCGTCGCCGTACAGGTAGGCACTCGCCACCTTCACCCCGCCATAGCCGCCGTTCGGATTGCCTCCTGCGAACACGCCGCGCGTTGCGTTGACATCATTGGCGTTATTGATGCTGTTGCCGCCCATATCCAGCGGGGTTCGCATCGTGTTGAGCTCTGGGTGCCCAGCCACGGCGGTGCGATACAGGTAGTCGTTCGTCGTCACGCCAGCGTCCGATGACCCCGCACCGGCAGAGACCAGACCGACAAGATGCCCGGGGCCAGGGTTGGGGAGGCCCGCCATATTGAAACGCCAGGTTCCGCTTGCGCCGTAAGCCGTGTCGGCCGTCAGTCCACCAAGCATGCCATCATAGGGAACAAAGCCACCCTGATGCCCCGTCATAGACGCGACAGAGACTTCGTCCTTTGGAATATAGGACGTACCGCCACTGCTTTCGATGACGGCACTCAGCACACCAGAGGTCGGCTGCTGGATGTAAACACTCCAGATCTGTCCGTCCGGGTTTGTCGCCGTGAACGCAGGCGGAAGGTCGTGTTCGCTGATGAGCGTTGACAGTGCAATCTGCGTGGTTCCGCCAACCGGAACAGCAGCCGTCAGCTCGCTGGTGTGCGCGTTTTCATATTGTCCGGCTGCCCGGATGAGATCCTGAAACTGTCCGGCGGTCACGGCAAGACTACCCTGACGCGTGCCATTCTCGACCATGGCGTAATAGCGCGGCAGGATCATGATACCGATCACCGTAGCGATCATCAGTGCGACGATTGTGTTCATTGATATCCCGTGCCGCTCAGGCTGATGTAGGAAACGGCGTCGCCATCTGGCACTGCGACCGGAAGGGCTCCCATGTCACCCGAGGCTGGGGTGAACCAGTGCCCGCTTCGCGCTGTTCCAAGGGAAAGATCGCCATTCGCGAGCAGGATTGCCCGCGAAATGTCGGCGGCTTCCATAGGCATCCAGGCAATGACCGAGACCGACTGACCCGTACCCGTGATGCTGTTTTGCGCGGTTGTGACCAGGGCAGCGTTGCTGCCAAGGGTCAACGCGCTAAGAGGTACAGAGGATCGGGTTGCCGGATGGTTTTCGAGGTAGAGAAGCAGGGCCGCTTTGTAGGCAAGCCAGGCCTGCGCAGTCTCGGTCGTTGACACCAGGGGGGACGGCAGATTCTGTCGTTGGATGACCCGAAGGCCATCCATTGAACTTGCGGCCATGATCACCAGAGCCAATGCCAGAAAGACGTAGGCCATACGGGCTCAGTTCGAGTATTCGAAGGTGACAGTGACCTGCGAGACCCCAGACGTTGCATTGCAGTTGTTTGCGATATTCACTGCGGCCTGGGGATCGGACATTGCGACTTCGGAGCCGTTAATGGCTACGCGATCAGCGTTCTGGCTTCGCGCAAAGGTCGCACACGCATCACCATCGACATTGGTCCAAGTTTCGGAATGACCCTGATCCCAGGGCGCAATGGTCACCTTCGAACTGCCCCACGGACCCAGAATTGTGTCGCCATCGCCGTTCTGCATCGATTTGGGCACAAGTCCCGCCTTGATGGCTACGGAGTTATTGAGACCGGTATAACTACGGGTCGTCATGCCGCCATTGATGTAGCTGCTGATGTTGGTCGCAAGCTGGCTCTGTTGTGACGCGGCGGTACTGCCGTTGTTTTTCGCAAACACGGAGTAGCCCCCGACAAGGACGGCAATCAGTGCAAGAAGCACCGCTCCGGCCTTGATAAGGAGTGAGACAATCTGATCCATGATAATTCTCCCTGATGTGGTCCTGGAAGCATTATCGAACGGGTCTTTGTGAGTGCGGACACAGCCGGGATATCAGTTACATCGGCCCGATATCGCTCATGCCGGAACCGATGTTGTTCGAGGCGACGATCAACGCACCGGCAATCAGCATCATCATTGCGTTCGCGAAGCCTTTCGCCGCGGCCGCCTGCTCCAGCGTCGTGAACTCGATCTCATCAGCCCAGGCCCGACTTGACTGCAGAAGACGGTCATAAGCTCCTGTGCCGCCCCAGCTTGCCTCGATGTCGTCAATGACTTCGGGGGACGGGAAGGCGAACCCGGAATCTTCCATGGCTTCGGGCAGGGACATGCCCCGTGGACCCAGACGGTCAAGAATGGCTTCGAGGCGTTCACGAAGCCAGGGTGTGGCAACCTGCATCTGATGGGTGAGGGCTTCGGTATCTGTCATCCCGGCCCGAACCAGCGCAATAAAACTCGAGATCCAGATGTAACCCTGAATATTGCGATAGATGGACCAGGGTGCTGCGCGCTCGAGGAAAACCCGAAGAGGCCCTGTCAGCTTTGTGAGACTGAGCCAGAGCAGTATCAATGCCCCAACCAGGCCACTGAGGATCAGGACACCATTCAGGCCGGTCGCGAGACTACTGGCGAAAACAAGCATATCCTGTGACGTACTCGCTTTCATCTTCATGCCGCCGTTCATGAGTAACGAGGGAATGACCATTTTCGCGATCGTATAAAGGAACGCGAAGATGATCCCGACATACATCAGGGGCTGGCCAATCGCACTCCTCGCCGCCCGCATGATGCGACCTACGCGGGTTTTGATATCGCACAACAGATCCATCGCGGAGGCGATGTCGTCTCCTTTCTCGCCGGAGAGGATCATCATGTATTCGTCATGCGGGATGAAAGGCCTCAGCGCCTCGGCAAAGCTCATGCCCTGGGCGGCCATCCGATGCAGCACCTTGTTCAGAATCCTCGGCACGGAGGTCTTTTTTCTGCGCTCCTGCTGACGGATATACAGGAGCATGATGCGTTCCAGCTCTGACTTCTGCCTGAGCCTGATGGCTATCATCCGATACAGCCGTGCCCGTGTCCGCCATGTAAAAGCGACGTGGATATCCATCCACTGTGCAAGGTCCTGCGTAAGCCGCGGTTTTTCAGCCGCCGCAGAGGTGTAGACAATTCGAAGGCTCATGACAGTTTTGCCCCTGACAGTCGTTCGCTCATGACGGCGTCACGTGTTCGGATCCGATCAACGGTTGCCGTCACGGCAAATGGATCGACAAGCCCCTGGAAGACACGGCCCATTGCTGTCTCGACCATCGACGGATCGGCATCGGGCCGTGCTCTGAACCGATGCCGGGCGATGGCTACGCCATGATTGACGAAGTCAGACATCAACTGTTCGTCCGTTTCGACAACCTCTGCAACCGTGGTTCGACCGGAGATGCCAGTACCGAAGCAATGAGGGCATCCTGGCCCTTTTCTGCGGACCGCGCTGAGATCCTCGCCCCATGTCGGGACAGCTTCGCAGGTCCTGCGTGGCAGTCTTTCGTCAGCGACGGTCCATGGAAGCGAACAGTGTTTGCAGAGGACAGGAAGCAGACGTTGTGCGACGACGCCCCGGACGATGGAGGCATTGCAGGTCGTGCGGAAACTCAGGCGTTCGAAATCCATGTTCTGAAACCGCAGAGGGTAATCGAACGGATCGTCCACATGGAGCGTACTCATCACGAAATGGCCTGTCTGCGCGGAATCAAACGTGGTCAGCGCGACTTCGCTATCGCGCATTTCTGCGATGGACAGGTCATCCGGATCCATACGTAGCGCGGTCCGTAGGCGTGCACGGAACTCACGACCCGCTTCTTCGGACGTCAGGGCATTCGAAATATCAAGCTGGATACCCCAGTGCATGGGATACTCAGCAGGCTGGGCGATCTCGACCAGGCGCCGCTCCGGCTGGGTCCGGGCTTTGTGCAATGCGATCTCGTAGAGCAGGGTCGTCTTCCCGGATCCGGTGGGGCCGGTACAAATGAGGACGCCTGAAGGCGAGACGGCGATGTTCAGGATGCGGTCGACCTGGCTTTGCGTGAAGCCGTATTCGAGCAGTTTGAGCTTACCTTCAGGTCTGCGCGGAGTTCGGAAGGTAGTCTGCTGCTGCGGCTGACTACGGCGATTGCCTCCGGATTTCACGTACTGAAGGCGGATGACCATGAACTTTCCACCTTCCGAAACCGGAAGGCACGGGCCTTTGACAATACGGACGTTGGCGAGCCCTGTTCCCTTGAGAATATCGCCAGCAATGGCTGCGTCCTGAAACGACAGGTCGCTGTATGCGCTGTCACGGGAGGTCGCCATCGTGTACATCGCCCGCAAAAGACGATCCGCATGCTCGTTCGTCAGCTCATGGGCAACCACGAGTGAACCGTTGATTCGAAACTGGACTTCGGTGTGGCGCTCTTTGCGGTGGAGGTGGATATCAGACACACCGCTTTCGGCTCCTTCGCGAAGAAGAGCCAGCGCTTCATCCCGGACTTCGGCGTCTTCACCTTCTTCTGTGTCCGAAAGGCTTCCTGTTTCATGGGCGTTCTGAATGCGGGCCGTGACGTCACTGATCGGCTCCCAGATAACCTTCAGGCAATCCAGCTGGGGATGCCTGCGCGTATTGGCAATCCAGTCGAGAGCGTCGGCTGAACGCTGCAATCTCTGGTTGACATAGACAGCCTGATTCACCGGATCGAGATGGATCTGGCTTCGCAACCCTGTTGGAATTGTCAGAACATTCGACGATGTCCCGACTTTCTTTGGCTTTGTCTTTTTCAGAAAAGCGAGCATTTCAATGGTCTTTCAGGTCTGGCGCTGCGCTAGGTGCGGGCCGGGCGATAGTCGGCCCCGCTCCTGTGACCTAGTTCGAGGTCCGAAGGGATGGCTTTGGCGTGGCAGTGACAGGCGCAAGCGTGTGCGTAAAAGAAACCTGCATCTGCCAGGAACCCGTCTGCGACCCCGACTGGGCGGGCAAGACAGTCCGTGAAAGTGATGTGACCCTAAGGTTCTCAAAGGCGTCCCAAGGAATGTCCCGCGGATCAGTCTGAAGGCTGAAGGACATTCGGGTGGTCTCTGTTGGCACCTGTCTTCCGTTCACCAGAAGATTGAGCTTTGACGAGTTAAGCGCCGGAATGACCCCGCTGCGCTGCAGGATGCCGATAAGCGTTCGTTCATTATAGCCCGCTATCGTGTCCTGCCGTTTTTTGAAGCTGTAGGACAGGGGACGGTGCGTCACGATGGCGTTTCCGTTGTCCATAAGCTCACCCTCTGGGGCATCAGCCATACTGCCGCCAGTTCGGTACCAGTGCAGATCGATCACGTCGCCTTTGCAGGACGCATGGTCCAGGGTCCAGCCGGACGCATACGGAGAGGCGGGGATCATCGACACGCATCCGTCGATCCATTCCGATGGAGGGGGCTCACGCTTCGCGACGACTTTGGGAAGCCGTTTCGCGCTCTCTATCAAAGCCTTGCGGGCGAGTTCCCGACGTTGGTCCAGAACGTGCAGATGGTAGAAATACGATGCTACGCCGGTAAGAAAGAGAAGGCCGATGACAACGGCCGCAGACGTATAAATGGGGGCGAGCGAGGTTGGCCGGACCTTGAGAGGAGCGTCTGGTAGATCTTCTAAAAGCGCTTCAAATTCGCGGGACGAGAGAAGATCTCTCTGGTCGAACGGATAGCCCGAGAAGGTCGAGCGAACAGCTTCGATCGCCTCTTCACGATAGACGCCGTCTGACCCCGGCAGAGGTAGCCCTTCTTCGTCGGTGGCAATGATCCAGAACTGGTCAATCCCGACCTCGTATTCGCCGTAGTATCTCCCCCCGAATTTCTCGCTGATGGCCAGCGCGAGGCTGTGAAATGGCTCTTTGGTATCGACGGTCTCAGCGGACAGGAACCCAACGTGCTGAGGGTAAGTCCGGCTTTGCACATAGTAATTGCTGCTGAATTCGGCAGCCACCTTGTGGACAGTCAGCAGGGACGGGGCGCGCTCGAAGCTGCGCCATCTCAGATCGCCGACCCAGACCCGTCTCTCGTTGCGGATGAAGAATGCCATCGGACCCTCAGCGCGAGTAGGTCGGTGGAGGGAGCGTGTTCGACCCGCCCGGAATGGCAATGATCTGCGTGCCGCTCGGCTGACTTCCGGTTGCGTTCAGGCGGCTTCTGGACCCGTTGGAAGAGATCTGGACGCCCGAAGATGTCACCGCGAGCACGACGCTTCCGTCCGGAAGTGTAACCCCCTTTGACACCTCGGAGGTGCTTCCGTCTGCAAACCTGAGAATGGCAGACGCCGTGTGATTGTAAGGATCAACCAGCAGGGCGTCATAGGTGGGAGGCTTGGGCAGGCTCTTTGGGAGAGGATGGTCGTCGTTCGATCCTTCACGCGGAGGTGGCGAGAGGGGCGGTGCCAGCTGCGTATCAGGCGCCGCCCGGGGTGCTTGTCCCTGCACCTGTTTCTCATTCTGCTTGCGCTCGTTCGCAGCGATAGCCGTTGTCAGGTCAGAGGCTGCCTTTGCCTGTTGAAGATACGTCAGACAGGCATTGTTCTGATCAATCTGAGCCATGCTCAGAACCTCACCAGCGGCCGGCTCATTGAGGTGCTTTGCGCAATCCAGTGTCGCCGCCTGCGCTAGGCCGGGCAGAGTAAAAGCGACCGCTGCTGCGATGAGGTGTTTCATAGGGTGCGAGCCTCGACTGTTACGACAACATGTGTTTTGGAAACCTGGGCGTCGCCTCCGCCACCTGTGACCCAGTTCAGGGCTGAACCGACACCGTTGCGCGTGCGGGATGTTGCATCGTCGACATAACCGCTCAGGACGAGGGTTGAGCCGTTCTGTAGAGCCACTGTGTCATCAAGCGACGTGTTCGAGCTCTTGGGCGCCTGAAGGCTGGAACCATTGGACGTAATGGTCTGAATCGACAGAAGCGTCTGGAGGAGGAAATTCACCCTCAGAAGAATGCGGTTATCGACGATCTTTGGCGTCACCGACCCCATGAAGCCGGACATGATGACCCCAGGAGACAGCGAGTTGGCAGATCCGGCATTAGTCGCGAGTGTCGTCGTCGTATTCGCAAGATATGTCGTGTTGATACCGTTCTGGAACGGAGCTGTAACGCCGTTGGTCGTCACCACGCCCCGATCATACTGTTCGGTGACGTTTCCGAGCTGCTGAAGCGCCTGGACGACAAACTTGGTCCCTGAGAACTGTCCTGTTGCTCCCGTCGCCGTATCGAGAATGGACGCACCAAAGCTGAACGGTGTGTCCGCACTCTGCAGGGCCGGAATTGCGGCAGGCATCGCCGCCATTCCGAACGCCTTGCCGTAATTCTTGAGGGCAAGCTGCGGACTCCAGCCGTAGTTGCTCTCATGCGACACTTTGACAGTGTAGACATGGACCTCTACGGCGACCTGCTTCATCAGGCCATCGTTCAGGTTCTTCATCCAGTCGTCGACACGCGCGATCTGGTCGGGCGTGCCAGTGGCGGACAGCGTGCCCAGGCCTTCATCCGCGACGACGCTTGCCCCTCCTGACACGATCTGCGCGGTGTGTTCGATGGTCTTCCAGCGGTTGGTCTTACTGGTACTCGATACCGAGGCGATACCAGAAGACTGTCCTGAAGACTGACCCGACGAGCTTCCAGAGCCGGTAGATGCCCCGCCGCCACCCGAGCTTCCCGACGATGACCCTGACGATCCCGAGCCACCACCCGTGTAAGCTATGATGGACGTGTTCGCCTGTGTGTCGCCCGCAAAGGCAGGCACGGTGAAGGTCTTGGTAAGCGTGCGGTAAAACTCGACATGACCGTCGACGAAGCGCTGCCACACCCCAAAGCGCGTGGCGAGAGCCTGGAATACGCCTTCCCGTGTGCCGTCATACTTCAGCCAGTCGCCGCTACCGTTCCAGCTCTGCCTGGCACTCTTTCCCTTGTTTCCCAAAGCGGCTGACATGGCAGACATCACCGGGGGAGGGGGAAGATTGGTTCCATTGAAACTGACGGATTGTGGTGTCGCCGTACCGATCTCGCTACCATCGTCGGCATCCTCCGCATCCGGCATGATTCTGACAGGAACGCTTGTCAGGCGGCTGGCCAGAATGGCCGCGTCCCGAAGCGACGTGGGGCGCGCGATCGTTATGGCGGCGGGATGTTTCAGGAGGTCTGGAATGGGATCGACATCCTTAATCGCGTCACCAAGAAGCCAGGGCTTGTCGCTCTCTGAAATGACCGGGATGTTCGGGACGTGCTGACGCTCGGCCGTGTTCATGACATCGGCTTCGCGATGCTGGGCGTCCTGGAAGTCCTGGCATCCGGAGAGAAGTGTGCCGGCTGCCAGTGTTGCCAGGAATGTGGTGCGTAGTTTCATCGGCCGCCTCCTGGCGAGGTTACAACGAGGTATCTGTTAGGGGTGTGGAACTCTGCCCGAATGGACTTCCCTTCGTCCGATACTGTCTGGATGACGGACGACATGACGGTTTTGAAATCACCGTTGAAGGTCGTCATGGCCGGCACCATCCAGTTCAGGGAGGCTGGCCAGCTGATCTTCCAGCCAGCGCGGTCAGCCCAGGCCATCATCTGGTCCCGGATGGGTTGCCCTTCCACAAGCGTCCAGACTTCCGCAGGGGGCTGAAGCTTCACCAGCGCCGGATGCTCCGGATCCACGGGTGCCTGGACAGGGAGTGGCTTGGCTTCGACCGCATCCGGATGGGGTTGAATGACGGGGTTTTGTGGGGCCAGCTGGACTGGACCGGGTGGTGGTGTCTGCTGAGGTTTTTCAGGGGCAGGCAGCCCCGAAACCAGAACGTCCTGTTCAGGGATCTGGAGCGTCAGGGACGCACCGCTCCGAAGG